GTGAGACTAATTTGAGTTCGGCTGTCCCATCTTGTGATCTTAGTGTTGATGGTTATCTTCCTTTAATTCGTAAAGACTCCAATAATCACATGCTTGGCCTGGGCATCTACATTCGTAAGAACTCACCCATTTGTCGTGAAACTAGGTTTGAATCTACAGACTATTCATTTATGTGCTTTCGTTTAGCACAACTTCACTCAATCGCCTTTCTCTTTGTTCTATATCGCTCTCCTTCATCCCAAGATTGCACTATTCTTGATGTTATTTCTGATCAAATTGACCAAGCCCTCTCTCTTTATCCATCGGCCAATATCGTCGTTGTTGGTGACTTTAATGCCCATCACACCGATTGGCTTGGCTCTAGTGTCAGTGACTCTGCTGGCGTTAAGGCCCTCAACTTTTGCCTTTCTCAATCTCTAACTCAAATAGTCAACTTTCCAACTCGTTTTCCAGACAACCCTAATCATTTACCTTCTCTACTCGACTTATGTCTTGTTTTGGATCCTAGTCAGTGCTCAATTTCTCCACATTCACCCTTAGGTACTTCTGATCACGGTTTGATCTCTCTAAAACTATTATCAAATTCTTCTACTTCATCAGAATCCCCCTATCATCGTACCACATACAACTACCTTAAAGCTGACTGGGACTCTTTCCGTGATTTTCTTCGTGATGGCCCTTGGGTAGAAATCTTTTATCTTCCTGCTGACAAATGTGCTTCTTACATAACTTCGTGGATTCAGGCTGGCATGGAATCTTTTATTCCCTCTCGACGATTCCAGGTCAAGCCTCACTCTTCTCCTTGGTTTTCCTCACATTGTGCTGCAGCAATTTCTAATTGAAACCGTTACTTCCATATCTATCAGCAAAACAATTCTCCAGAAAACAGACATCTGTTCACTTTCGCCAGAAACCATTGTAAAAAGGTTTTGTCTGACGCCAAAGCTCGCTATTCCCAGGTCATTAAATCTCGTATCTCATCACAAAAATTAGGCTCTCGAGACTTCTGGAGAATCTTTAACAGTATCAATAATAAGGGCAAATCTGTTATTCCTTCTCTCTTGTATGGTTCAGACTTTGTCACCTCACCTAAAGACAAAGCTGAATTGTTTGCTAAGAACTTTTCATCAATATCATCTTTTGACTCCACTAGTTGCGTTTTACCTGACATAGCCGTCAAACAGGTTGATCCCTTGCTTGACATTCGCATCACTTCAGCTTCTGTATCTAAAGTAATTTCCTGCTTAGACTCTTCAACAGCTTGTGGTCCTGACAACATTCCTGTTGTAGTCTTGCAGAGGTGTTCTCCGGAGCTTTCATCCTTACTTTCTAAACTATTTAACAAGTGCTTATCAGAGTCTTGTTTTCCATCATGCTGGAAAGCAGCATCTGTTATCCCTATTTTCAAAAATTCCGGAGAGCGATCTGATTCATCTAACTACCATCCCATTAGTCTTCTTTCTGTCATAAGCAAGGTTTTTGAATCTTTATTCAACAAACACTTAATCTCTCATCTTGAATCAAATAACTTACTTTCTGATCATCAATATGGATTTCGGTCTTCTCGTTCTACAGCTGATGTGCTAACAGTAATAACCGATAGGTTTTACCGTGCATTAGATAGAGGTGGAGAGGTTAAGGCTATCGCACTTGACATTTCTAAAGCTTTTGATAAAGTTTGGCATGCTGGTCTTCTCCATAAGCTTTCTTCTTATGGTGTAGCTGGTAACGTCTTTAAGATTATTGAGTCCTTTCTCTCCAATCGTAGTATAAAAGTTGTCCTCGATGGACAACACTCTTCTTCACATCCTGTAACTTCAGGGGTTCCTCAAGGTTCAATCCTTAGCCCTATACTCTTTTTAATTTACATTAACGATCTTCCAGATATTCTCACATCTAAGGTGGCATTATTCGCTGACGACACTACCATTTACTCTTGTCATGATAAGAAGCCTACACTCTCTGATTGCTTGGAGGGGGTATCTGAGCTTGAAAAGGATCTCACTTCTGCTACAGCATGGGGCTCACAGTGGCTGGTGAACTTTAATTCAGATAAAACTCAATTTTATTCGGCCAATCGTTATCGTAATAATTTAGATCTTCCTATATTTATGAATGGTAATGTACTAGATGAGTCATCTACCATTCATCTTCTAGGATTAACTCTTACTTCTGATCTTTCTTTTAAACCGTATATCAAATCCATTGCAAAATTAGCATCTGCTAAGGTTGCATCTCTTTATCGAGCTCGACACTTTCTTACTCCAGATTCTATTCTCTATCTCTATAAATCTCAAATCCGTCCCTGTATGGAATACTGTTGCCACATCTGGGGCGGATCTTCTAATGATGCTCTTTCTCTTTTAGACAAGGTGCAAAAGCGAATTGTAAACATAGTTGGACCTGCTCTGGCAGCCAATCTCCAACCTTTGTCACATCGTCGTAATGTTGCTTCTCTTTCTCTTTTCTACAAATACTATAATGGGCACTGCTCTAAAGAGCTAGCGTCCCTTGTGCCATCTACTAAAATTCATTCTCGTGTTACTCGCCATTCAATTAAGTCTCATCCTTTTTCTGTGACTGTTCCTAAGTGCTTCAAAAACTCTTATTCTTCTAGTTTTTTTCCTCGAACATCAGTTCTTTGGAATTCGCTTCCTTCATCTTGCTTTCCTGATTCATATAATTTGCAATCTTTTAAGTCATCAGTCAATCGTTATCTTGCTCTACAGATTTAGTCTTTTCTCTTCCAGTAACTTCCAACTCTTATAGTGGTTGCTTGCAGCCTTGTTGGAAGTGAAGATGTTAAAAAAAAAAAAAAAAAATTATATATATATATATATATATATATATATATATATATAAATATATATATATATAAATATATATATATATATATATATAAATATATATATATATATATATATATATATATATATATATATATATATATATATATATATATATATATATATATATATATATATATATATATATCAGGGATGTGGAGTCCCAAAATAGCTACTATAAAGCAATAAGTCCATCTTCGCGCTTAAAAGCAATAAGTCCATCTTCGCGCTTAAAAACAATAAGTCCAAAAGGACTTATTGTTTTTAACCGCGAATTCGTGGAGTCTGTCGCCTTTATACCTAAGGACTCCGGGTTTAAAAATTGATTGATCTACTGATGTATGTAGTCTTGATTTTTTCCCCATTAGTAGCCCTTAAGCCTTTTTATATTTTTAAAGCTGCTGGATACCAAAAACTAGAAAGAAGTAAACTTTTTGTGACTTTTGTCAAATCCAGAATCATTTTTTGGGATTCCACATCCATAATATATAGATATAGAATATGAACAATATATACATATAAATTATGATTATGTACATAAAAATTATGAATATTGTATAAATACAAATTATGAATATTATATACATATATATATAAATGCAATAAGAGCAAAATATTAAAAAAACCTTATGATATTTTTGTACAAATATACAAGATCAAATCAATATAGTTGTAATCAATGTCTGACTCAAAGTATTAAAAAAGTGCATGGCTTTTTTAGAAATATTTAAATAAGCACTTTTAAATTTTTCTGAGAAATGACACATTTTAATTGTATTCAAATACACATTTTTGCACATGATGTAATATTGAGATAGATATTATTGAAAAGTATGCTGTTGTAAGGCTTTAGATGCTGACATCAATAGAGCAAGGTATTTCAAAAGTATGATCCAGTAGCTTAAAAACATTCATCTTTTTCCTTTCAAAACAAAAAAATAAATTTATGTCTTAAAATGTTAAATAAGTTGTTGTACTTTGATATTGCATGTCTTAAAATGTTAAATAAGTTGTTGTACTTTGATATTGCATGTCTTAAAATGTTAAATAAGTTGTTGTACTTTGATATTGCATGTCTTAATATTGTTACATAAATTAGCTCTCTGTAGTGGCACTGAAAAGTTTGCCAGCTTCTTTCTAAAAGACAAACATCATTAAGGTTTCGGCATTTGATTATTATCTCATGCTTAAGAGCAGTTTTGTATGTTGTTGTCAAATATGCTTTGCAGGTTTTTTTACAGATATTTGTAGGTTTTTTTTGGCAGATATTTGCAGGGTTTCTTTTTACAGATATTTGTAGGTTTTTTTTGGCAGATATTTGCAGGGTTTTTTACAGGGCCCTGAAACAGCTAGTTCTAACTTTTTTCCTTTTTTTGTCCAATGATCAATTATGATTGCTACAATAATTCGGTAATTATTCTTTTATTGATTAATTAGGTAATTAATCTGTTTATCTAAATGACGATCAACCTTTATAAGTATTTTTGAATAAAAAAACCATAAAAGCGAATGTTTTCAAAACAGAAAATAATTTTTTTAAACAAGTGTTTTATTTAAACTCTGCTTCTGTCTGTAACTTCCTCAAAAATAAATCACTGCTCTTTTTACAAAACCATTTTTTTTAAAGATTTTTTTTTGTTTCTTGAATAACCCCAATTTTTTTTATATTACTTTTTCCATTCCAAAAGAAAAGTTGTTAAATTGTTTGGGATCAATTGATCAACTTTCTTTTTTTTTCTGTCGGACTTTGTTCCTTATAAACTTATCTAAAATGAAAAGGTAATAACATACTTACTTAACATTAGGGCATTTTGTATAGAAGCTTCTTTTTGGTAGAATATTTTTATTACAAATTTTAGTTATGAAAATTTTTTAACATATAAAATCAAATTTAAATTAAATTAATTTTATTTATTGAACTTAAAGTTAAATTAATTTATTGAACTTAAAGTTAAATTAATTTAATTTATTGAATTTAAAGTTAAATTAATTTAGTTTATTGAACTTAAAGTTGAAAATATAGATACAAAACTATAAAAGCAAAAAAATATATAAAACTAAAAAAGAACTTTTTTTACTACTTTAAATATTTTAGTTTTTCATTTATGAAAATTTACAAAAACATTTTATTGAGTATAATATTTTTTGTTTTAGTGGCCCTGTACCAACTTCATATAAAGTTTATTATCAAGATGCAGAAGATTCTTCATCCTCATTACAAGTGAGCACTTTTTCAAATCCACCTGCAAACATTAGAAATTTACAACCAAACACGCTTTATGATTTTTATGTTGTTGCATATAATGGGGCTGTTGCAGGTTTGAAATCAAGTATAAAAAAAGTAAAGATGCTTGAGGAAGGTAAATTTACTTTAAAAGTTATTTGAAAGGTTTAAAAATTATAAGTATTAAAAATTATGTCTTGATTACTGTTTTGACATACTTTCAAAAAAAGTTGTGCTAATGTAATTATGCAAATTTATTGTTAATACTTTTTGTATTTTTATTTGTTTTTATATATGTTATATTTTTTATATATGTTGTATTTTTTTACATATGTTATATTTTGTATACATGTTATATTTCTTTATATATTTCATAATTTTATATATAAATATTATATTTTTTTATATATGTTCTTGCTTTAGGATATTTATGGTTTTTATTTAGATCATGACTAATTCTTTGTCTATTCAAACCCAAATAATTTTGACCCAAATAGATTTGATTGGATTTGTCTATTCAAACCCAAATAGATTTGATTATTTTATTATTAATTATTTTATAATTTTTATAATAGATTTGATTGGATTTGAATCTAGTGATCAAGGTACTCTATCTAGATAAATTATTGGCAAAAAATCTACTTTTTTTTCTTTCATCCATTTCTATTCTCTCGCTTGTTGCTTTTGTCTCAGTCCATTAGCATACCTACTGATGGTTACCATGGTTACCATGATGATGATTACCATTCTGTTCTCTAGTGCCTTTATATAGGTGTGTTGATTAATATGGCTTGTATAAATGTTAAGCACATCTAATCAATTAAAATTAAGCTTAAATGCTAACACTCCTATCAACACTAATTTTTTTCCGAAGTAAAATGATTTTTACTGTAATTGAAAAAATAAGTTTTTCATAGCTTTTGTTGAATATATTTGTAAGTTAATGATAACTAAACCTTGGATTGGCTCTTATTTGACAAAATATAATACTGTTTTAATGCTCATTGTCATCTTTTCTTCCTCTTTAATTCTCATCCTTATCACCATCATCATTATCATCATCATCATTATCATCATCATCATCATCATCATTATCATCATCATCGCTGTCATCATCTTTGTTATCACCATCATTATTATCAATACTAACTTTTATCTTTACTTGTATATAGATGTAAAAAAAATACTTGTATTAAATGTAAAAAAATTTTACAATTTACAATTTCTTAATTTGTTTTTAGATATTTTAATCCAATTTATGAAACAAAGATGTTTAAAGTAAAGATTCTTTGGGCTATAAAATAAAAATTATCTTGATTAATTGATCATAGAAACCATTTGTTTTCCCCAAACCTTAAATTTGTTTTATCTTATGTGTTTCCCCAAAATTACCATTATTATTATTATTAATTTTGTTATTATTATTATTTTGTTATCATTAGTAATAATAATATTACTATATATAATATTTTATATTTTAGTACCTCCTGCCCCATCAACACTTAAAATTGTTTCTATTGGCAATGACACATTAAAAGTGAGGTGGTCACCAATAGATTTAAAAAGTTTCCAAGGTAACCTGTTATCATATGAGCTGCAATACTTTGAAGGGGACTTAAGACACACTGCAAAAGCTATATCAAATATCCCTGTATGTTTTTTTTTATTTTTTAAGTTTTAATTTAATTTAATTTCAGTTTCCATTCATGTTTATATTTCAGTTTTAAGTTTGAAATTAAACATAATTAATATAATCATGTTATATATATAATAATAATCCTAATATCCTTTTTGCGTTCTTATTCTAAAAATGTGCGCTTTAACTTTTCAGAAAAAGAAGAAAAAAATAAAGAATAATTTAAAAAAAAGATTGCTATTAATCAATGTAGCAGCACACCTTTGTAACCACAGGCTATAATACCGGTGTATGTACTGAAGCCTCTGCAGCTACCTGTTTCAGTATGAATTAATTAGTGTGTGTCTAACGCTGCATTTATAATATAAAGTTAAGTATAAATATACATATTTACTGCCATGGAAAGCAAAAATGCTGTATTTGAAATAAAATAAAATAAAAAGTTGCGCAAGCTGACTGTGAAACTATTAGTGACTGTTTCACATCTCTCCATTATGCTTAAATGTCTGCTAATTAAAAATTTTATTTGAGGTGTGAATGTGGCGCCAGATTATACACTGTAACAGGTTGCTTTCTGCAAAGTTTCATACAGTTTAATTATTTTAAGTTTAAAAAAATTAAAAGCTAACAAATAATAAAAATAAATATACTTTAAAGTTGATGTTTTTACTTTTTTTATTTGGATTAATTATAATTCATTTAATTTTGTTTTATTGTTTTTCATCATTGTTTTATTGTTTTTCATCATTGTTTTATTGTTTTTCATCATTGTTTTATTGTTTTTCATCATTGTATTATTGTTTTTCATTATTGTTTTATTGTTTTTCATTATTGTGTTCATTTATCTAGAAATCATCAAAAGAATGGAAAATTACTAAACTTTCCCCTCAGACTGTATATAATATTAATGTGATTGGTGTGAGTGGAAATGGACGAGGTTCTCCATCCCCAACAATAAACGTCAAAACAAGAGAACTTACTTCAGAAGGTTTTGTTTTTTCGCTTTTAAAAATTTTTTATAACTTAAATAATTTGCATTTTTAAAAATTAAATTAAAAAACAAGAAATAAAAATTCAATTTTTAAATTAGTAATGTTAAATGTTAAAATAAATTTTACTATTGTTTTTGTGTAATATATGTTTATTTTTTTCTATTTCTACCCTAGATTATTTTCTTAATTTAAGATGATTTTTTGTATCTTTAAGAAATAAATGATTTAACTATTATATTTGATGATAATTTAATAATTTAATTTTTTAAAAACATTTTAAACCAAATGTTTAGACTTAAACATTTGGTTAGAAATAAATTTTCTGTGTATTTATTTTCATTAATTATCTTCCTTGGGTTAAAACATTTTGCCAATAAATTATGAATCTCTATTTAATTCAGAATTTTAATTAGTAAATTAAATTCAAGATAAGTACTTGTAACTATGTTGACTTTTTCAGTAAATAAAAAGTTGTTGATCTACTTATTCTGAAAGTTAGAAAAAATTTTTTTTTAAGTGATATGCTGAAAACTAAAAAATTAAAAAAAAAAAAAAATTAAAATTCACTTATATATTACCAAAGATAAATTTATTGTCAAAGTTTCTTTAGTGCTGCAGCTTTTACTTATTGAAGTCCTCTCTATGTTTCTCTATTGGCATCCATTAACATGTGTGTATAGCTCTTAACTTTTTTTTTTAAATAGCAACTTTTGTGTCATTAGTTAAAGTTGTTTTCTGAAAATTTTAATTGTTTTAATAATTCATTATACTAATAATTCAGCATTTCATTTTTACTAATAATTCATTTTTTATAAAGTAAAAATGTTATTATTGTAACATTGCTGAACATTTTTGAAGTTAAAATGTTCAGCAGCATATTAAAAATCTTCACAAGTTTACTTTTACAGCTTTTAAAACAAACATTTGATTAAGCTAATTACTCAGCTAGAATTTGTTATATTCCATTTTCAGAGAACTTTATTCTATTCTATATATAGCTCATACTCAATAAGTGTCACTATCTATGAAAATGTTTTTAAATGTTGGTAATAAATAGAAAACCATTCAAGATCATTTTAAAAACAAATTAAAATAGTTTTCTTTACTGTGTATTATAAAATGCTGATCTTTTGAATAAAATTATGCTTGAATAAAGCATCAAGACTAGCAAAAAAATAATTTGAAAAAATATCTCATAGTCTCATTTTTTGCAGTTGCAGCAGTTATAAGTATTTGTAATAATGACTTATTACTTATTTATATATTAACACTTATCTAAAACAACATTTATTACCTTCTAGTTTATATATTTATATCTGTGATTAATCAGGTTAAGGTAAAAAAAATCTATAAAGTTTTTCCAACAACATTCAGTACAAACTATATCGAAGATGGATCACCTTGGGGGTCATGATTTTTGCCACACAACCACTTCCGCTCTTTTGTGTCCAGAATCATTCTCGGCACATTTGATTATATCATAGATAGTACTTCTTGGAATTTGTTCATCATTGAATTGATCTACTGTGAACTTTTAACATTTGCTTTTTATTTTCAAATACAGCTCGTAAATTTGTTTTCTTGTCTCTTTTTGCTTAGACTTTTTTTTTTTTTTTAATATTTATTATATAAAAATTTATAAATTAACTTATAGAGAATTAAACAAGTTTTAAAATGGATATAGGCATGAAAAAAAGGTTAGCTTGTGGCATTTAAAAGTTAGTTAAAGTTAGTCTGGATTTTTAATAACCACTTGTTATTTAATAACCTAATGATGCTATTATTTATTAGCCAGCAAATATTTTTAAAATAGAAAAAATTTTAGTATTAAGAAAAACTGAATTTATTGATGTTTTTTAAATAATATGTTTGTGTGTGTTTGCGCGTGTGTGTGTGTGTGTACAAATTTAAAATTAACACTAAATTAACACTGAATGGCTTTTTTGAATATTTTTCCATTTGGCTATTTTTATTTCTTATAAAGCTGAATTCCTTGAATTTCAGAAATGATGCTTTAAATTATTATAATTATATAATTTTAAATTATTATAATTATAAAACTTTGAAATGATGCTTTAATTTATTATAATTATATAGTTAAAAAATTTTTATAATTTTTTGATTTGCAATTTTTTATTTTATATTTTAGGTCCCAGTGAACCTGCAGACATAAAATTGACTCACGATCCTGATGTACCTGATGTTTTAATGATAACATGGGATGAACCTCTTTATGTATCAGGCGATGTAAAGAGCTATATTATTTATTATCGAGCAAACCCATCAGATAATTACATCAGCAAAACAACTATTGGTACTGCTAAAGGTTTCAACATAACTGATGTTTTGCTTGGGAAGTTGTATGAAAGTTATATGGTAGCTGTCGATAACAATGGTCAAGGGAAAAAATCATCTGTTTTTGAAAGAATGACTATGATAGGTGCTTATATAATTCAATTATTTTACATACAAAGTTTATTATTATAGTAATAAATAATATAAGTTATTAAATAATATTTAATAAAATAAAAATATTGCATTTGTAAAAAATAAAAGTATTGCATTTTTAAAACATGTCAAGAAGAATAAATATTGTGTTATTTAAAAAAATACTTAGTCAATTTATTCTACTATGACATTTAAGAAATATATATATATATATATATATATATATATATATATATATATATATATATATATATATATATATATATATATATATATATATAGCTTCTAAAGCTTCTCCAAGCTCATCACATGCTCTACATTATCTTGAATAAAATTTACTGTAAGCTTAAAACAAGAAAAAATACTTTAAAAAATTCTTAAAACAAGAAATACATTTCTTGTTTTAAGAAATAAATATCCTACCCTGCAATTTATTTTTAAAATAATAAATTTTAAAATAGTTTAAGAAATAAATTTCTTAAACTATGGTCAATAGATTTACAGTTTTGCTGTTCTGATGAGTTGTTAGCGACTTTGAAAGATTTTGGAATTGATTGTATCAAAAATGTCTGAGAAAGTCTTATCAGTAGGCATTTTTTCTATGACCTAGAATATTAAAAATTAACCAGTAGTCTGGTGAAATATACAACTCAAGACCTAGTAACCGGTCTTTATCAACAAAAGCTGAAGGATTTTAGCTTTGATTCTATCTGTTTTTACATCTTTTTAGACCTCCCTTTGTTTTTGAATGCAGAACTTTTTGCCATTTTTATATTGTGATCTCGGTCAAAAGATACTAACGCCAGCACCAAACATCTCTATGGTTTTACCATGATTTGAATTTCTACTCTGCAGCAGGCTCAATATACATCTGCCAATAGTCTTGTTGATCTTAAAAGTGTAAATTGAAAATAATGCAAGATAGATAAAATAAGATTTAAAATTATACTGCTAAAAACTTATTACATTTCATTTAGACAAGATAAAATCAAACTGCTATTTCTATTGATTTCATTTTTACTGAAAAGTCTGTCATTAGTAAAAAAAATTGGTTTAGTATTATTTTCTTTGTATTTAACATCTGATTTTAAACCATTTCACAAACCATTGTTTTTAAACAATTTGTTATTTTATGACATAAATTGTTCTTAAATAATAAGACTAAAATATCAAAACTTTTTTACTTTTAGTTTTACTTTAAAAATTGCAGAATCAGAAAAGTCACAGGTCAAAAACCGTGATGCCCTGGTGTGAGAAATGCAGTCAGTTATTCTATTGATCTGAATAAAAACCTACCTGATTTTAGAAAAATCCAACTTGAATTTCGTGAAATTCAAGGCATGTGAAACAGCTCAATATTTGTTAACTTTCACCTAATGGTCTGATTTTTTTGCGCAAGTTCACTATAATCTCTTGAGTGTCAGAGAGCATCAAATGCTTAACTATTTGACTGATCAAATCAAAGAACCAAAAAAAAACAACCTGGAAGCTGATAGGTGACATGAATAACACTCTACTGTTAAGGTTTCTTGTTTTGGCATAGTGGCCATGATAAATGTAGTATAGTCAGAACTAGCAGAAAATATCTTAGGTTTAGTAATAAAAAGGACTGTACTATATATACTATCATTAGTATACACCCATTAGTGATATGGTTTATAAATAATTAATTTGATTTTTAAATGATGAAAGGTAGTAAGTAAAAGCCGGGTTGCATTAGCGCAGTTTTTTTTTGTTATAATTAATTTTTGCATTGTTTTCTGTAAATTTTAGTGTGGGCTTTGTAGGTTTTTGTCACAAAATTGAAATTTTTCTTATGCCATTATTAAAATCACACTTTGACTATGTGAAGCTTTGATGTGATCAATTTGGGACTTATTGTGTTGTTTATTGTTCATTGTATTGTTTCTTGTAATTGTTAAAGTAACTGTCTATTACATCTGAAGTGCAAGATGGCACTTTGTTTAATGCAATGTTATTAGCTTTGTGTAATGCAGCATAGTATTTCAAAACTATATCATCACTGTAATTAAGGTTTGCTATTTTTGAATGCTCTTAGAAAATCTTTTTCAAATATTGTTGAAAAATGGAAATTTGTGTCAAACTATAACCTTAATGCTGAATTATTTTTTTTCATATATGTAATATATATATATATATATATATATATATATATATATATATATATATATATATATATACATATATATATATATATATATATATATATATATATATATATATATATATATTTATATATATATATGCATATCATATGCATTTACAGCTATGCATGTATGTATATATAGTTGTACTTATTTCGTTTATCACTTAAATAGAGGATGTACTACCAGAACCTGTTTCAAAGTTATCAGTAGACCCTAAGGCAGATTCATTATTTGTTTCATGGGAACCACCTGTTTCAAGCTTTAATGTTATAGTCAGAGGGTATAAAATCAACATTTTTAGTGCAAAGACCAATGCTGAAATATTCCAAGATACATTAATAGGCAGACAGAATACGCACTTACTACTCTATAATGGAATAGGTATTTATTATTTTATTATTTTTTTAAAAGATAATTTTACATTAAAAATTCTTTTTATGTAAAATAATTTTACATTAAAAATTTAAAAAGTTTTTAATTGTATTTCACCAAGAGCCAAATGAAAGGTATACAGTCAATGTTCAAGCATTTAACAAGTTTGGGAAAAGCGATATTGTTAAAAAGGATGCTACAACACTTCAAGGTTTTTGTTGTTTTTTTATTTTATTTTTAAAGCAAACCTGTTTTATTTATAGTTAGGGAGGGGGTAGTACTTTGTCTTACATTAATACATCAAATTTATTTGTATTTATATTTGTATAGCATCAAAGTCTACTATACTTATAACTGATGTGACAAAAAGTTCAAGCACAATATTTTTTAAATGGATTGATACTGGTATTGTATCTGGTGTTGGAAACTATATAGTGAGGTAAAAAAAAAATTTAATAGTACCACGTTTAATGAAGTAGTAATCTAGCAAGTATGTGCAGATTTGTTCACTGTAACAATAAGCAGTAATTGTTGCAGCCAACATTGCAGCAACTACTGCTTATTGTTAATTGTGGCACAGTGTTTAAAGCATAGTTGCAAGATGTATCCATGGTGCAGATGTATTGACAACTGCATTGTACAAAGCCTCCTAAGAAAATACTTCAGAAAATATCTTCTGTACACTTTGTCTTGCACTTTGTCATCATAGGTATACTTACATATCAATTTATTTGCTTGGATGAAATCAAGTTTGAATCTTCTATATTTTTTTAATTTTTAAAAATATTTTTTCATTAAACACTCCATTTAATTCCTCTTTGTGGTTTTTGTTTTTGTTTGTTTCAAGACTGCACTTTTAATTTTATTTTGATCACATTCATTCTGCCAAACTTTAGTTATAAAAGCATCTTTGGTTAGGGTGTAAATCAGTAGACTGTCTCTTTGAATGTTGTAGCCATAGTGATCTATTTGGTCTTCTTAGAGTTTTTTTTTCTGAAAAAAAAAGAAACTTTCAAAACACTGTTACTGAAACTATTATTAAGACAATGGTTTTACAAGTTATATACAATAACACCTTGCTTTAAAGTTTTGCACTGTGCATAAAATATATTTATAATATATTTTATGTACAGTGCATAATATAGGACATGCAATATTTATTAATATTGCATGTCCTATATTCTGTTATTTCATGTTTTGATATATTGAATCTCTGTTATAACATGTAAAAGTTTTTTTTATTTTTTACAATCCTAAATTTCCCTAATCACATTTGAAGTTTATGTATTCTTTTTGACATTTCACAATTGACAGGTCATAACTCTCAAAACTATTCTTTCATTAAAAGAAATACAAAAATTTTTTATGGGTTAAACTTCTGATTATATTATCTATTGCTATATAATATAGACATGATATACATACATATATATTTTTTAAAACTCTTCAGAATGTTCTGATACCTAAAAAATAAAAAATAAAAATTTGCTATGCACATTTTACGATTCATTTTACTGATCTTTTTTGGTACTCTAAAAACTATTTATAACTGCTAATCTTCAAACTTCTTAAAAGTTTTAATGATTATATTAAAAACAATAAAAATATCAACAGCATATGTTGATATTTTTGTTTTGAATCCTAACAATATCAACAACAACAAACTATTATTGGTCATAACATGAAAATATCAATCAATCTCATTGTTCAGTTCAAACATTGCATAAGTAACCATAGTAACCTTTACACATACTTTTTAAAATTAGGATCAAAATAAAAATGTTAGTTTAGTAAAAATTAAAATTAATTAGTAAAAAAAGGATTGCACATAACTCTTTTTAGTCTACCGTGACCTTTTCTGTCTCCTTTGTCTGTATCTACCATTATAGGTCCCACCTTCCAAGTATGGAGGATGGTAATCTTTTCTTCTATCTTTTCCACCATTTTTATTATTAATGTAAATTTATTTGTTACTATTACAGTACAATGGTTATATTACAGGTATGATGTTTATGACATTAATGGCATCCCTGAAACTAAAAATTTAGCAGTGTTTAAGAATGAAGCACTTATAACTGATCTTGTGGCTTTCACTAACTACAATTTTTATGTTAAACATGCTACCGAAACAACATTCCCAAAAGATATAACTGTTTCTGCAAGAACTCTTGAAGCAGGTATTTATTTATATATCTAGGCTGTTTTTGAAGTACAAAAACTTGTGTTCCTTTGCCTTTCTCCTTATATTTATATCTTTTCTGTTACAATTTTCTTTTATTAAACAATTATATTTGGACAATGTAATATAATCTTTCTTATCAAGTTGTGTTTCTTATCAAGTTGATGAAAACATATACAATTTTTATTAATAGTGGCCCTCTAGGTCTCAGGGAAGTAAATAGTTTAAAGTTAAATGTTAAATAGTAATAGTGGCCCTCTAGGTCTCAGGGAAGTAAATAGTTTAAAGTTAAATGTTAAAAAACTTAAACCTATACTCTCGAGGAGATGTCCAACTTAAGTTTACTGTACTTTGGAGATGAAGACCAACTTAAGTTCAAGACTTTTCCTGAGATTTTTTCCTGAGATGTTTATGATTTATATTAAATTATAAGTTTTTTTCTAGTGCCCAGTGCCCCATTAGATTTGACTGCACAAGGTATTGCAGAGTATCCATCATGGTTAATTTTAAGTTGGCAAGTCCCAAGGTATCCAAATGGAAAAATTAAAGAGTATGTCATCTTATATTCAGCTGACGAATCATTAGACTATAAAGAATGGCCTAAGATTGAAACAAAAAGTAATTTTTTGTAATTTTTTTTTTTTGGCTTTTTATACTTTAAATTAGTATAAAGTAATACATATTTACCCTCTACTCTCATTTTATATATATTTTTAATTTCTTTTTATATATATTTTTAATTTCTTTTTTAATATATTTTTAATTTCTCAAGGTATTAGCATGACTTACAATATAACGCAGCTTACGACTAATACAAATTACTTTTTTGTGGTTTATGCAATAAATGGAGCAGGTGAAGGCTCTAAATCTGCAGTTTATTCAAAAAAAACAGGTAATGATTATTATTAATGCTATGTTGTTGTGATTATCAATAATAATTTTATTTAACAATAAAATAATGGATTGAAATTATGAGTAATTAGTTAAATTAAATTTTGATCAGTTCAATTAAATATAATAAGTATATGATTTTTTATTATTACAAAGTGTTTCACTTTCTTTTTTAGTTGGTGGTGGTGTTGTTCCTATTAGTAAGATAACTTAAAATTTATTTTTGTATTTTGAATAAATATTTTTTTAGTTAATAGTTTTTTTCAAATTAATGGTAATAATAATATTGTTAAATTTATTTAGCTGTGATTGGTGCTGCAGCAAGTAGAGGTATTTTTTAATTTATATATTATATATATATATATATATATATATATATATATATATATATATATATATATATATATATATATATATATATATATATATATATAAATATATATATATATATTTATATATATATATATATACATATATATATATATATATATATATATATATGTATATATATATATATATAAATATATATATATATATATATAAATATATATGTATATATATATATATATATATATATATATATATATATATATATATATATATATATATAATATATATATATATAATATATATATATATATATATATATATATATATATATATATATATGTATATATATATATATATATATATATAAATATATATATATTTATATATATATATATATATATATACATATATATATATATATATATATATATATATATATATATATATATATATATATATTTATATATATATATACATATATATATATATATATATGTATATATATATATATAAATATATATATATATGTATATATATATATATATAATATATATATATATATATATATATATATATATATATATATATATATATATATATATATATATATATATATATATATATATATATATATATATATATATTGACCTAAAATGTTTCAACTGTTTAGTAAAAATGTAGGTTATGTTAGAAGGTTTTATATCTTGTAGGTCTGTACGAAGGTCTGGGTACAAGAGCTTTAAACATGCTAATGGTAGTAAACATAAACAACGCATGTCTATCAGTGATAAATAAAAATTGTCTTAGTACCACTAGCTATGGTACTATGACTATGGTACTATGTTTCTATTGCAATCTTAAATTATATTTGTCGCAGTGTCATAATCAGCAAAGAAAACGAAGATGTGCTTTTAAAACATTCTGATCAAGTGCAAACACTTGTTTAGTGATAGCCAAATAGCTAAAAAAATTTTTTGTAGGAAAACAAAGGGTTCTAGGTTTCTATTGATGGTTTCTATTAATGGTTTCTGTGGTTTCTATGATTATAATAAATCTCTTCTCTTTAACTTAAATATTAAAAGATGAGACTGTCAGTTCTGATTTTGAAGTTGTACCATATTTTAAGGAAATTTTATGTAAGATATTATCAGAGTATGACCAGTTTGTCTGCCACTTTAATAAATCTATCTATCAAGTTGTGAAGAAGAGTCAAATATATGTTAGATATTGGGATTCCTCATTAGAGTTGGTAAAAACGCAGTATTACAGCTAAGAGTTTATAGAAAAAGCTGCTGCTGTCAATATTATGATAAATTTTTGTAAGAAGTGGTTTAGATGATTATAAAATGCTCTAGGTTTCTATTAATGGTTTCTATTGATGATTTCTATTGATGGTTTCTATTGATGGTTTCTATTGATGGTTTCTATTGATGGTTTCTATTGATGGTTTCTATGGTTTTTATGATTATAATAAATCTTTTCTCTTTAACTTAAATATTAAAAGAGATGAGAAGTGAGTATAAATTCTATCAGTTAATATCAATTGGATCATGCAGACTTCATAAGTATCATTCAAAACTTGAATGATACTTATGAAGTCTGAGGGTATTTTTGTCAAAATTTATCAGAAAGGAAGTTTTGTCTGAAGTGAATACAACTTTATTATTATTAAATAATTAAAATTTGAATTCAGTGATGCCAAAAATCAAATGTTGGATACAAATGTAGAAGAAAGTGTACTGAACTCACTGAACTCATAATTTTCCAGAATGTCCATCCAAAATTATGTGTATCATCTTTATAAATGTTAAAATCTCATAAAACTTTGGTTTTAACAAATTTAATTTTGAATAAATTATTTTTATTGATTAGTTATTTGCCTTTCAAGTGACAATCAAGGTGTTCCTAAAGATGTTCTTTGACATTTTAATCTGGGTCAGTCTAAAACTCAAATTTTTTTAACTTGAAAAAATTGGTGATTGAATTTTCGTAGAGTTTTAGATCATTATCTTGCTGGAAAATCTAACATTTTGTCCTACCCATGTGGCAACATAAAATTTATCCATAGCAACATATCATTCTTAACTATATCTAAATATACAGTCTCATCTGTTACTTTTTTGATGTGTTGAAGTGAACAGAATCACAAATGAAAGCCAAAATTATGGTTTGACAATTTGTGAATGGTTATTGCACCTCCATAATGTCCAGTTCATATTAGTTCAGATTGTGACTATTTTTGATAAAAAAAAATTTTCAGTACTTCAAAAATATCAGTTCATGTTGTTGAGGAGTCTTAAAAAGATTTTGGACAACATCAAAGTTTTCTTTGACACATCTTTTGTAACTGAGCATTGTCAGTTACATCAAAACTTACATCCATAATTCCTTTTAAAATGATGAGGTGACCATACTTTTTTTAAAAATAAAAGAATATTTCTTCAATTCTTCTCATAATAGTGTTTCAAGAAAGGATAATTATTTTTTTATACTTAAGTTTCCAGTGTTTATATCAAATTCTTTTACCATTTTCTCATCTGTTTTTTACTGTTGTAAAAGGAGTTAAAATTTTGAATTAAGCTTTCATCATTATCTGTATTTCTTCCTATATTTAAAAATAAAATTTTTTAAAATGTTTTTGAACATTTTTATAGAAATATTTAATTTATGAACCACTGATAAAAACAACTCTTGGTTGGCTTGACATTGGCTATTATTTAAAGTGCTTAGCAAATGGTTTTTTATACAGTAACTAATTTTAATAAAAACTAAAATATTTTTAGTGTTGTTCTAAAGTTACTAAGGCTTGCTAATTTTTTTAATAAAGGTTTGCTAGTTTTTTTAAAAAAGGTTTGCTAGTTTTTAAAAAAAAGACTTGCTAGTTTTTTTTAATGAGCTAATTATTCATTGCTATCTCGTCATTAATATACGATGTTATTCATTATTTTTTTAAATTTCAGATCATAGAGTTGTTATTTAAAATATAAATTTTTGTTCTTAATAAAAAACAAGAAGTTAACATTGATACTTATTATCAATCAAAAAGTATAAAAAGTTATTAGTTTAATATATTAATCAATATTAATCTATTGAGAAAAAAAATTTTTAATTATAAAAAAAACTCTCATTCATTAGAAAAAAAGTTATACCTGCCTACTGTAAAAAAAATGTATTAATGCATTGAAAACATTTTAAAATGTATTATATAGAATATGAATTTTAAAATATTGTGTTAGAGAAATTTATGATACAAATTAATTTGAATCGTATGATCGGATTGATGACCAGTATATGCATTATTTTATTATATACTGTTTAAAAATGTTGATTGTTAAGATGTTGATGTTTTCTGATTGTTAAGTTGTGTTGTTGGTGATGATTGTTGTGTTATTGGTGGTTATTATTGTGTTGTTGTTCGTAATTGTTGTGTTGTTGGTTGTAAATACTTTATTAAAATATTGAGAGTCTTTTTTAAAATACTGAGAGTATTCTTTAAAATGTTCTCTCTTAAAACACATAGTCTCATTTAAAATCTCTTTTAGAATGCTGAGTGTTTTGTTCATAATAAAAATGTGAAGCTAAATAATGAAATTTGAAATTAAATAATGTTTTTCATTTTTTAGATTCAGGTGGATGGTGGTGGTGGTGGTGGATTATTCTTGCTATAATTTTGTTTATTTTGCTATTGTTGTTGTTACTACTTATTTGTTGCTGTTGTTGTTGTGGAAAATACACAGAGTGGTGTTGGGGTTGTTGTCCTTGCTGTAAAAAATGTTGGTTTTGTTGCTGTTTACCTTTGCGCTCAACATGTTGTTTTTGTTGCAAGTCTGATAAGTAAGTTGTGAAATTTTTTTTGCTTTTTGTTTTAATAGAATCTCCCCTTTAACATTTGTGTCCCTTGTCCCATTTGTCCCTTGTAATGATCAACATGCTCCAGCAAGCAACTTTTTGTTGTTTTTTTATATTATTTTTTAGTTTACTTTTGTTTATATTTGTGATTTAGAATATTTGTTACATTTTTATTTTTAAATTTTTACATTACATAATATTTATTTTATTTATTACAATTTTAATTAAGGTATAAAACATAATTTTTTTTTTGCTTTTATTTTAATCTGTTTGATTCAAATTTTTGTTTAGTAATTCTATTTGTGTTGTCAATATATTATTTATTGCAATATTTAAATAATTGTTATTTAGAAAAAAACTATATATTGCAACTCCTGTTTTGACACAAACCACAAACGAAAAAATTAATGGTCATATTGTAAATGAGTCTAAAGATGTAAATGTTGAACTAACTCCATTGACTTCTGCTGTTGATGGCGAAATATACGGAGGTGATGGAGGTTTGGGAACTAACAAGTCACGGTATTAAAATGATTTTTTTTTTGTTTTAGCTATTGTGTATTTTACATCTATATTATTGTTATAAATATATATTTACATATGTTATAATTAGCATATCTATAATCATTACATTTTTTCTTGCCTATTATTTTACAATCGAACATAAAAATAACTTTACCAGTGAAAATGCAATCAAGCTGTTAAACGTATTTATTTAAGCTTTTAATGTTATGGACATAATTTGACTGTTACGAACGAATTGTAATTTTTATCAAAAAATTTATTGTTATTATCACTTACAACAGTGTTAAATAAATTAAATAAATAAAAATAATAACAGTAAAAGGAAAAACACAAATTTCTTTTTGTTACTATTTTCTTATATGTTTTTAGCATGGCAAGCTCATCACTAAATTCTAGCAGAATTTCCTTGGGAAATGTCAAAGTTCCAGTCCCAAGTGATGCTTCATTTATATCATATAAAACCTCCTTACAGGACTATTGTCAAAATACTGGTTGGATACTTCCTGTCTATACAACTAGTTTGGGTAACACGGGATGGACTTCTAAAGTGAGTTTTGGGAAAATTCATACCTATGAAAGTGCTGAATGTGGAACTTCAAAACAAGATGCTGAACAACGCGCAGCACATGCAGGTTTAATTGGCCTCGGTGTGTTAGATTTCCGAAGTAAATATAGCGATGATAGTAAGCAAATTTTTTAATTTTAACATTGCTCTTTTTTGATAATATCTAAAAAATACCATCATTCTGCACTTTTACATTCTGCAAAATACCATTATTGATTACCTTTTTTTTATTTGTGTTGACCAAAAAAAACCTGTTGTTAAGCAGTATAACTAACTGAATAATTATTTATAACTGAATAATTTATAATAATTATAATTTTTATAATTATTTTAGAATCATTCATATAAAGACATAAATAGCTTTTAACATAAATGTACAATTTTTATTCTGTCTTTTGAGAGATTTTTTATTATGATTTAATTTAATTTTATTTCAATATGTTTGAACTTAGCCTGCATTGCTGTTCCTGGACAAGGGGATGGCTCGTTCATATCTTATAAATGCAGTTTACATGATTTTTGTCAACAGTGCAGTATACAACCACCAAAATTTGTTACTTCGATATATGAAAATGGCTATTCATCATCTGTAAGTTTATTTTGTTTATCAATTTATTTTTGTTTTCATTTTCAAGTTAATTGTTTTAAAAATGTTTACCTGTGAGTAATATATTTAGGTCAAAGTTGGCCAACACACGTTTAATACTGTAGGGCGCTCATCTACTAGTCAGGAAGCTGAGCAAAAAGTAGCGTTTGTTGCTTTACAAGGATTATGTATGGTGGATTCACAAGCAGTTTATGATCCACTAGGTTTTTTTTTACTTTTACTAGGCATTTTTAGTAGTAAAAAGGTTTTATTATAAACTTTACTATTAGCATTTATTGTTTGAAGTTAACAATAAATTTGTTAAAATTATCAATGAATTGATAATTGTTAATAAATTTTAACAGTTTTTTTTTTTCAATTGTTTAGTATTTACTATTAAATAGTTAATAAACACTTGTAAATTTAAACTTGCAAATTAATATTTATCTTGTTTTTTTTTTTTATAGATTTTTTATTGCATAAGTTTTTTGTTTTTAATTGATTTTTAATGTGCATGATAACTTTAAATATGTAACTATCATTTTTAGTATGCTACACAGTTCCTGGTCCCGGGGACATTTCTTTTATTTCATTTAAAAGTAACCTGCATGATTTTTGTCAAAGATTTGTTCTTCCTCCACCTCAGTATATCACAAACCAGGGCCAGCAAGGCTTTTCTGCAAAACTAAAATTTGGTGGTTTGTTTTTTCAAAGTAATGATTTCTTTCAAACTAGACTTGAGGCAGAGCAGCATGCAGCGTTTGAAGCACTTCAAGGACTAGGTTTATTAGAATCAACTGTGACCTTCGATTCTGCATGGGAATCTTCTACTATACTTCGAGGTAACAACATGAAACATGGTAGTGGAATTATTACATTAGGTAATGTTGGAGGTAGCTTACCCAGGTCCTACTCGCATCAAAGTAGCAAGCATTCTAGATCTGGATCTATTTCCACGTCTCGGCAGGGCTCAGCATCCGATTTAAAAACATCACTAAACATTCCAACAGATTTTGTGGCGGCAGAAATAACTCGATTACCTCCAGCACCTAATATTCAATCCAACCAGAACGTTTCTTTTTCTATGGGTCCAAGGACATACAGCTCAGGAAGTGGTTTTGATCGAACAACATTAAACGATAGAGTAGGTTCTTACAGTGCTCTTGGTCGCATTCCTAGCAATAATAATATATTAAATTATAATACATCTATTAGCAGTGGTTTCCCAAAAGGTTTGTCAGCCTCACAAACGCATATCTCGCATTCTACCCCATATAAAGAATACAATGGAGGCGATGCTTTACTTCGATTTGATACGGATTTTAAGGATTCTCCTAAAGTCAACTATATTTCACAACAACACACTAAAAAAGAGGTTTATCGTACTGGAAGTGCTTATTCTTCTTCCTCAATGACTGTGGAAAGTAGTTCAACCTCTCAGGTATTTTATAAATTCATAGTTTGCTTTTTTCCTTCTTTTTTTTAATAAAATTTATTGTCTAGAACGTTTAAGTTAATCAAATGCTAGTTTGTTTATTAAATTAACTTCCCCAAGAGCCGCTACAATCGAAAAATCTACTCTCTTTTTTTTCCCCCAAAAAAAACTTCTTACGAACCTAAACTACAAGACGCGAACCTTCTTAAACAAGACTGCTATGCGAAGAAACAGATTGATCAAAAGTTAATTGAATTCTAATCAAATTTCTTTTAAATTTTACAGTTTAGTGGACCAAGAAATTACCCTGGAAGTGTGCGCGATGTAACCTATATTGAAACACCACGCACAGTGCGTACGGCCAGTCACCCGGTAAATTTGAATTAGATTTGTCATTACGTATTTGGTTAATTATTACTACGTTTATAGTTTAGTAATTGCATAATTACAAGTACAATAATCATTTATTATAGTTATTTTTTGATTTAATTGTTAACATACTGATTGTAAAACTCTTTCAGGCGTTGGGAGATCTTGAAAATGAAATGGCAGGTTTAGAAGGTCTAATCAAAGATTTAAATGGGATTGCCTCAAAACCTTTATAGTCCAATGGTTGAATACGTACTTTAAGATTACGTCAAAATATTAATTACGAAACTGCTCAATATAACAAAGACTTTATCTGATGACAAATTATTTTTGGGTTTTATTTATTATAGATGTTTTTGTGTCTTCGCGCATGTGCGTTTGCGTGTGTTTGTAATAGCCTGCGTGTTTATTTGCGTGTCGAGTTGATTTTTTAATAATTTAGTTTTTATTAGTGAATTTTTTTATTTTTTTAAATCGAATTTTTTTATTTATTTTTGTAAGTGGTCTGAAATCCATATTTTATATAAAATTTCATTGCATTATTTAATTTTGTTATTACTAGACTATATTTCTAATTATTTATTAAAAGACTTACATTTTTAAATTGTTTTTGAAAAAAATGTTTTCCATATCAAGCTTTGCATGTTTTTTATATTTCGTAACGTCGTCGCAAATAGTCGTTATTTTTTTCAAACTATAGTTTGATTTTTTGCGATATATGATTCAGTTCTTTTTGCAATCTTTTAGTGATGAAGATTTTAGGAATTGAGCTGCACATTATTTAAATATTTATACAAAAAGTAAATAGTAGTTTTAATTTTTTTGAATTGAAATATTCTAATAAACGTTCATCTGTTTTTAATTGTGAAGCCCATTTGTATTTTATTAAGTGTGATTGTATTTGCATGTCCGTTTATGTTTTATAAGTTTATTGTCACGCTTATTACTGGTTTAATGTTCTCCGGTTTATTTAGCCCGCTGAGTTATCTGCATGTATCTCAGTTATCGGTGACTACAGAACTATTTTCTCTGGATATTTTTTTCCGAAAAATCTTTCATTAAAAGACTCGGGAGGCTGCATAAGCGCGAATTGGCATATGCGCGCACTGGCATAAGGGCGAAGCGTTGCAAAAACTGGCATAAGTGCGAACTGGCGTATGTGCAAATTGGCATACGTGCTAACTAAGATAAGTGCGAAGCAGTTGAAAAAACTGGCACAAGTGCGAACTGGCATAAGTGTGAAATGGTTTAAGTGCCCCGAACAAATTTGCAAACATTGGCATAAGTGCGAAACCGTTACAAAAACTGGCATAAGTGCAAATTGGCATAAATGCGCCGAATAAATGTGCTAATATTGGCATAAGTGCAAATTAGTATTTCGCTCTTATGCCTATTCGCACTAATGCCAGTTCGCACTTATGCCAATATTTGCAAATTTATTTGGCGCACTTATACCAATTCGCACTTGTGCCAGTTTTTGTAACTGTTTCGCATTTATGCCAGTTCGCACTTATGCCAATTTGCACTTATACCAGTTCGCACTTACGCCATTCCCACTAATGCCAGTTCGCACTTATTCAGTCCTCCCTAAAAGCTTATCTGGATAAACTTTTCATTAAAAGGTTTACAAAAATTTAACTATAAAAAGTTTTACAAAATCTTTCTTTATAAAATGAAATAAATGGAATATATTTTTCAAATAAGTCTAAAAGTTTGGCTTGTTTATATAAAATTCTATTTGAGTTCACGTCAAATGTATAAATATAGCTACACAGCACATTAAACAAGGTTAAACCAAAAATAGGCTTGGTTTAATGAAAAATAGGCTTGGTTCAATGAAAAAGCATTTTGCAGAAAATAATTTAAACTATCTGCAATTCAACTTGTGATGAAAGGTTGTGTCTAAATAGCAACAAAATCGCTGGTGGTTGAGCTATGATTTTTTATTTGCGTTCAGGATTATTCCAGAACAATATAAGTAAAAGTAGGACTGAGAAAGGGAGAGATAATGATAATAACAAAATAATTGGTTTCAAATAATTAATTATAAGAATCAAACTTGATCACTTGGGTCTCCTGTACGGTCACTGAATCTTTAGCACAATTCAATTTCACCAAGTTGTCTTTTTCAATTTCACCAAGTTGTCCTGTTCAATTTCACCAAGTTGTCCAAAGTTACCAAGTTTTCCCATGTAGGAATAAATTTCTTCCCGGATTCCATTAATTTATACTCAAATTCCATTGCAACTTGATTCTCCAGATTCACTGATTTACTAATTCGTCAATGAGTTGAGTGTTTGGTTTTCTTTTACGTAGTTTAAATTTAGCCATGAAAAATTATCATGTAAATGATTGATATAAAAACTTAAAAAGTCCTTCTCAGTATTTTAATGTTTATATTCTTTGTCTTGTTTTAACACAATATTTGCATTAGACATTGTTAAATTAAATACATTGCTAGGAGCGGACTTAGACCACCTAGGAAGGTGGAGGGGGGGGATTTTTATGGTTCGGTGGATCCAGATACTAATAAACTAGGGGGACGCAGTTTTCAGGTTTAAATCATGAAACTTTTTAAATTAGCTTTTTTAAAATATTACTCTTACATTGTCTTAATTCAGGTCAAAAAGTCTTAAAGGTCTTAAAGTCAGGTATATCCTGCCACTGGTAACATGTAACCCAGTACAATCTGCTTCATGTCCTGCTGCCTTTAGGCATATGTAGGATATGCCTTTTTAGGCGAAGGCTAGGAGATGCAAACTCCAACATAAAACACCCCCTGCCTTGGGGCTCTTGGTTGAGTAAAGGCTAAAGATGGTGTCTCGATAAAAATACTCATCTCGGCAGATGTTAAATGCATCCGGCTGCTGTCTTGTAAAAGGCCTCCTAGGCAAAGACTTAAGGGGTAAACAGATTTTTTCTGTTGACCAGCCTCGCACCCCTTCTTCATCTATTAGGCTGGCGCAGATGTATTTTTTATACATTGTTTCCAGTTTAGGATGTTGAACGCTGGATCTTCTTGACTCGATGCATGGGTTTTGCTTGTGTCTCTGTTTTTATGACTAGGCAACTCATTCTATTATCTCCAAATGAGGGTATAGCTCTAAAACTCAGTTTTATGGTTCTGAAGCCGGCTGGTAGTCAGTTTTCCCGAACTCTGTGGTAGCTCTCAGAGAGGCTGATTCCATCAACAGCTGAAAAATATCAGAGTACTAACAGTGCCATGTTGCGCATGGATGATGTCCCTGTTTTTACTTTTGGTGTGCATTGCCAAGACCATATTGGAGTCCTTTGTTACAGCTTAGGGTTTATTAGTGGAGATGAGGCAATTGCTTGGGCTATAAGACAGTGTACTGAGTACTATCTATGTTTCGAGTCAAGTTCTTTAACAAATTTAAAAATGAATAAAGTAACAAAAACTATAAAACTCAAAAAACCACAGTCATCACCAAGTTCGCTAAACCTATCATTCACCAATATTCGTGGTCTTCGAAGTATTTTTTCTTCGGTTGTGTCTTATTTCTTGCAAAGTTCACCAGACCTACTTGCTCTTTGTGAGACTAATTTGAGTTCAGCTGTCTTATCTAGTGATCTTAGTGTTGATGGTTATCTTCCTTTAATTCGTAAAGACTCCAATAGTCACATGCTTGGCCTGGGCATTTACATTCGTAAGAATTCTCCCATTTGTCGGGAAACTAGGTTTGAATCCACAGACTACTCTTTTATGTGCTTTCGTTTAGCACCACTTCACTCTATCATCTTTCTCTTTGTTCTATATTGGTCTCCTTCATCACAAAACTGCACTCTTCTTGATGTTATTTCTGATTATATTAATTATATTACATTCTTTATCCATCAGCCAATATTAATATTGTTGGTGACTTTAGCGTTCATCACACTGAATGGCTTGGCTCTAGTGTCAGAGACTCTGCAGGTATTAAGGCCCACAACTTTTGCCTTTCTCAATCCCTAACTCAAATAGTCAACTTTCCAACTCGCTTTCCAGACAACCCGAATCATTTACCTTCTTTACTCGACTTATGTCTTGTTTCTGATCCTAGTCAGTGCTCAGTTTCTCTACACTCACCCTTAGGTGCGTCTGATCATGATTTGGTCTCTCTAAAACTATTGTCTCATTCTTCTTTACCATCAAAATCCCCGTACATCTACATATCATCGTACATCTTACAACTACCTTAAAGCTGACAGGGACTCTTTCCGTGATTTTCTTCGTGATGGCCCCTGGGTAAAAATCTTCCTGTTCGTCTTCCTGTTGACAAATGTGCTTCTTATATAACTTTGTGGATTCAGGCTGGCATGGAATCCTTTATTCCCTCTCGACGATTCCAGGTCAAGCCTCACTCTTCTCCATAGTTTTCCTCACATTGTGCTGCTGCAATTGCCAATCGAAACCATTACTTCCATATCTATTAGCAAAACAATTCTCCAGAAAACAGATGTCTGTTTATTACTGCTAAGAACCATTGTAAAAAGTTTTTATCTAACGCCAAAGCCCGCTATTCTCAGATCATGAAATCTCGTATTTCATCACAAAAATTAGGCTCTCGTGACTTCTGGAGAATCTTTAATAGTATCAATAAGAAGGGCAAGTCTGTAATTCTACCTCTTTTGTATGGTTCAGACTTTGTCACCTCACCTAAAGACAAAGCTGAATTGTTTGCCAAGAACTTTTCATCAATATCATCTCTTCATTCCACTAGTTGCGTTCTATCTGATATAGCCGTCAAACAGGCTCATCCATTGCTCAACATCCATATCACTCCAGCTTCTGTATCTAAAGTGATTTCCTGCTTAGGCTCTTCTACAGCTTGCGGCCCGGACAACATACCAGTTAAAGTCTTGCAGAAGTGTTCTCCGGAACTGTCGTCTATCCTTTCAAAACTATTTAACAAGTGCTTATCTGAGTCTTGTTTTCCAGCCTGCTGGAAAGTAGCATCTGTTATTCCTATTTTTAAAAATTCTGGAGAGCGATCTGATTTGTCTAAATGCCGTCCCATTAGTTTTCTTCCTATCATAAGCAAGGTTTTTGAATCTTTAATTAACAAACACTTAATCTTGAATCTCGAATCTCACAACCTTGTTTCTGATCATCAATATGGATTTCGATCTTCTCGTTCTACAGCTGATTTGCTATCAGTAATAACCGATAGGTTTTATCGCGCATTAGATAAAGGTGGAGAGGTTAAGGCCATCGCTCTTGACATTTCTAAAGCGTTTGATAAAGTTTGGCATGCTGGTCTTCTCCATAAGCTTTCTTCTTACGGTGTATCTGGAAACATCTTTAAGATTATTGAATCCTTTCTTTCCAATCGTAGTATAAAAGTTGTCGTCGATGGACAGCACTCTTCTTCTTATTCTGTAACCTCAGGGGTTGCTCAAGGTTCAATCCTTAGCCCTATACTCTTTTTTATTTACATTAACGATCTTCCAGATTTTCTCACATCTAAGGTGGCATTGTTCGCTGATGATACTACCATTTATTCTTGTAACGATAAGAAGCCAACTCCTTCTGATTGCTTGCAGGGGGCATCTGAGCTTGAAAAAGATCTCACTTCTGCTACAGCATGGGGCTCACAGTGGCTGGTGAACTTTAATTCAGATAAAACTTAATTTTTTTCAGCCAATCATTTTCGCAATAATTTAGACATTCCTATATTTATGAAAGGTAATGTACTCGATGAGTCTCCTACCCTTGATCTTCTATGATTAACTCTTACTTCTGGTCTTTCTTGGAAACCTTGTATTAAATCCGTTGCAAAATTAGCATCTGCTAAAGTTGCTTCTCTTTATCGAGCTAGTCACTTTCTTACTCTGGATTCTATTCTCTATCTCTATAAATCTCAAATCCGGCCTTGTATGAAATACTGTTGCCATATCTGGGGCGGATCTTCTAATGATGCCCTTTCTCTTTTAGACAAGGTGCGAAAACGCATTGTAAACATAGTTGGACCTGCTTTTGCAGCCAACCTTCAACCTCTGTCACATCGTCATAATGTTGCTTCTCTTTCTCTTTTCTACAAATACTATAATGGGCGCTGCTCTAAAGAGCTAGTGTCTCTTGTGCCATCTACTAAAATTCATTCTTGTGTTACTCGTCATTCAATAAAGTCTCATCCTTTTTCTGTTACTCTTCCTAAGTGCTTTAAAAACTCTTATTCGTCTAGTTTTTTTCCTTGAACATCAGTTCTTTGGAATTCGCTTCCTTCATCTTGCTTTCCTGATTCATACAATTTGCAATCTTTTAAGTCGTCTGTCAATCGTTATCTTGCTCTACAATCTTCATCTTTTCTCTTCCAGTAACTTCCAACACTAATTAGTGGTTGCTTGCAGCCTTTTTGGAAGCGAAGATGTTTAAAAAAAAAAAAAAAAAAAAAAACTAATGTAATAATGAAATTTCGTCATATATTAATATTGCAACAGTCTGATATTTTTTTGCACCACACAAATTTATTAAAAGTTTTTATCACTTTTAAACAGCCCTAATTTACTAATTTACTTACGTTTTTAAACAACATACGTTGTTAAATATATAAATTTATAAAAAAGAATTCTTTCCAAATTATCTAAGGGTAGGCGATCGCTCCCCCCCTCCCTATGGATATACCCTCGTACATTACAACATTTTATATAGTTTAATTTAACTTTATAAAATTTTTTTGTCCATTTTATAGTTATTGATACGTTAATTCTTAATTAAGGATTAACGTATCTATAACTATAAAATGGACAAAAAAAATAAAAAAAGATTAATACAAGTTATCAAATGAGAGAAAGAGGAAATAAATAAAAAAAATATTTTAATTACTTTAGGAAGGGAGTTTGAATTTGTTTTTTGTTTTCCTGTTATTTCTTTCAACGTTCTCCAAGTATTTTTTGAGTCGTTTTTAAATTTACTAATTAAATTTGAATAACATTTTTTTTTTTAATTTTTTACGAATATTTTCAAATAAATGTTGGTAATTTTTATATTTTTGTTAATTTTCATTTGATTTTGTTTTTAAATACTTTATATATAGTTTCTGTTTGATTTTAGAGGATTTTCTAAGTCCTTTGGTAATCCATGGACAATTTAAGGTTTTTATTTTTGTCATTTTTTCGCAAAGTGGCAAGTTTGCATCGTGTATTGAGAAGAACGTATCAAAGAATTTATTATATATTGTATTTTCGTCTTCATTAAAGTTAATAAGTTTCCAATGCAGAAGTGATAATTGATATTGGAAGGATATTGCTCTCATTAAAGACACGTTTTTTTATTATATTATGTCTTTCGGGGTTATTAGAGGATACAGTATGGATTGTTAGAAAAATGGGGAAATGATTGGATATGTCGATTTTTATAATTCCTTTTTTTTAAATTTCCTATTATAAATATCTGTTGTAGAAATATTATCAATCAACGTAGTTGAAATTTCGGTTATTCTAGTAGCGCGATTAATTAAAGGAAGTGCTCCTGCCATAAATATTTCATCATAAAAACTTTTTACTTTTTTATCTTTATTATTAATTAAACAGTTCATGCTGAAATCTCCAAAAAGTAATTTAACTTTCTTTGCTACCTTGGTGAATGATATTTTCTGTAAAAAGAAACTAAGATTTTCAGACGCACCATCAGGTGGTCTATAACAACAGCATAATAGAATACTATTTTTTTTTTTTTTTTTTAAATTTCAATAGTTACGATTTCTTTATCTCCGTCAGAAACGCACATATCACAAATAAACTACGATGAAGCTCTCAATTCTTTCGTTCCATAGCTTCATCGTAGTATATTTGTTTAACACTAGGGCTTTGTCTTTGTAGTTTTGAAATTGAACAATTATTAATCTGTTTTTTCCGTTTTCTTTTCCTACTTGATGGGCTCTATCTATTAAAATTTTTTCTTTTATATTAATCTTTGTACTGAGGAAGTTTTTGATTATTTGCTCACTTTCTTCCCAAGTTTCATTAGCTTTATCTTTAATCCCAACAAATCTCAAGTTGTTTCTACGGCTTCTGTCTTCTAGTTTGCTATTTTCTCTTTTATGTTATTAGTTCCATTTTCAATATTACTTTCATCTGGTGATTTTTTAGACTCTGTTTTTTTTTTAATTCTGTAAGTTCAATTATCATTTCATCATAGCTTTTACTTATAACTTTTATTTTACCTTTGGCTGTGATATTATTACAATTTTGAAAAACTTTGTTCTGAAACCAAAATTCTTGATCTTTATCTAATTCCGTAGTACTATATGCACAAAATACTGGTACCTAGCACGGAAGTTATAAAATTATGACTTTTTCCAATCGGACAGCTATCGAAAGAGTCTCAAGGAGCCCTAAAAAAAATTATCATCGATTCTGGGAGTATCATACAAGAAAAAACTCGCGTATTTCTACAAACATGCATTTACTCGATATGGTTTTAGTAACTTTAGATACTGTCATCAACGCACACAGAAAATTGTCTAGTATGAAAACCGGTAAATTACCGTTAGAATTTTTGAATGTAAATGTCCCACCTGTAAAACCACCACAAGCGGTTGGCAATGCAGTTCTGCGTGACAATAACTGTTAATAAGGGTCCGGTTCTTCGGGTAATGAAAATAACAATCATTCATCCGATAATAATTGTTTAGAAATTATTTTCTATTTTACGTTATCAGCTGAATTAGAGTATTTTTTTCTTTTGTTGTAGACAAAATTTTATTGCATAAGTTATGTGTTCAAATAAAGTATTTATTTTTATTACTTAACTTTTTTCAAAATTAAAATTCCATAAAACTTAAAAAATTATCAAAATACCAAACTTATCATAAAAACACCAAAATATTATTAATTACATTAGGAATCATGTTGCAGAACAAAAATGTTTTTGTCCACCTAGTTTGTATGAAGCGATACACTGTGCAGTGGAGCATTTGACCAAAAAATATCAAATTCTGGGTGTATCAAAAGTATCAAATTCTGGGTGTACACGACTATTTGGAGCCAGGCAATGTTCTCAGGGACATTAGACCACTACCTTTGATTGATTATCAGTAATCCTTATTACCTGATTACAGTTATATAAGCATGTTGTTAATTACGACGACGAAATGAATGTATGAAAATAAAGTTTAAAAAAAAAATCACTTACAATGGATTTATGAAATACAATTACAAATGGAGTGTTTACATTTAAGGTGATATGGTGAATGATATATGACAAGGTGTATGTAAAACCGCACTTAGATTTTAATTTTAAATAAATATTTAGTTATCTTTAAGTTAAAAAGATCTTTATTATTTCCGCACCTTTCTCCAAGCTGCTGTTTTTAATGAAAAAAACTGTCCACAGATCAAATGAAAATGTGTGAAGTGCGTCATCAGATTAGATTTTATGTTTAAATACTATCATTATTTTTATAGATTTGAAAATAAATGAAATCAATTTTTTTTTTATTTCACTTGTTCTTTTGGTTAGATTGCTTTTCATTCAAAATTATAGCTTAAATATAATTTAAATATAAAAATAAATTTAAAAATAGCTTAAATATAATTTTGAAACTTTGAAAACAATTTTTTGAAATTTTGAAATTTTTTTGAAATTTTGTTATGTTTAGTAGTTCAATTAAAATAAAAACTAAACGAAAATAAATTTGATCGATATTTTTGATGCTCAATCATTTCTTTAAATTTATCTTGTTTTTCATAATTATTTTGAGACGGTGGATAAAGGTTTTTTAATTTTTAAATGATTGTTAGCGATTTGCCTATTAATTTTTCCGCACGCCATTTAACTATATATGTGTGTGTGTGTATATATATATATATATATATATATATATATATATATATATATATATATATATATATATATATATATATATATATATATATATATATATATATATATATATATATATATATATATATATATATATATATATATAAGGTATAACAGAAATAGTAGAAACATTACAAATTAATAGTTTTTTTATTTTCGTTTTTAAAAAAGTAATATTTTTTTTAGATAAAAGCTAATAAATACAGATGAATTTTATGTATGCGTATCTCTTCTACGTGTGTTTTCTTGCGTGTGCGTGAAAATATCTATACTTCTCTGTTTTTCGTAATTTTCGAAAGTTAAAAAGTAAGTAAAGAACAACTCTATATTAAAAATCTGCAACTCCATATTTAGATCTTTGCAAATCCATATTTAGATGTGGACATTCCATCTTAAATTATTTTTTTTTCGAAGCTTAACATTTCTTGGTTGGCATGAATTATACTTATATAGCATTAAAATGTTTATTTTTGAAGCTCAACCAACAAAACAAAAACCATAAAAAAATGTTCGACCAAACTGATATCTTAAAAAAAATGTAAAAACATTTTAAACAATTAAGAATATTGAACAACAAAAAACAATATTAATTAATATAGATGACTTGCGAATGTTTACATTCTCGTTTTCAAAGAAGAATGCGCGCATACTTGTAGGCAGAAAAACAAATAATCGGAAATTTTCCAGCAAAAACATTAAGATGCTTGTATGTTTTGTTGGAAACTTTTTCACTTATTGATTTTTTAATAAGAAATAAATTATTTAAACCAGTTCTTGTGTCATTAGTTACTCAAAAAGATGTGAAAACTAATGCGGATTTAAAATTTATAAAGTTTCTTTTGGAAAATTAGCTTATAAAAGAAGAAGATGTCTCCGTCTTCTTCTTTTATAAGCTGGATTAAAGCTAATATTTATAAAATATTAAAGCATGACATTTCATAACATTGAAGTTGCTCCAATTTCTAGTTCGATCCAAAAAGTATATAAACGAAGATCCTTATCAATATTATCATCTACGATACAGAGCTTGATAACTATACCGAGAAAATAAATTACCAAACCACCAAATAATAAGTTTACTATAAATAAATATTTTCAACACAATATTTATAAAGCAGAATTTTAAACTTTTTACTTTCAATTAATACAGTACTAAACTTAAATAAAATATTGAAATTGAAAAATAAGCTTGACTTGAACAAACATATTTCATACCAAAATCTAACATCAGATGAACTAAAGAATATTTTTTTAGACTTATCTTAAATGGTAATGTAGCTCTTTAAAAAAGTTACTTCACTCTTACATCACTCACGCTTGATGAAGGACCATCAGCTTGATGGAGGACCATCACGCTTGATGGAGGACCATCACGCTTGATGGAGGACCATCACGCTTGATGGAGGACCATCACGCTTGATGGAGGACCATCACGCTTGATGGAGGACCATCACGCTTGATGGAGGACCATCACGCTTGATGGAGGACCATCACGCTTGATGGAGGACCATCACGCTTGATGGAGGACCATCACGCTTGATGGAGGACCATCACGCTTGATGGAGGACCATCACGCTTGATGGAGGACCATCACGCTTGATGGAGGACCATCACGCTTGATGGAGGACCATCACGCTTGATGGAGGACCATCACACTTGATGGAGGACCATCACGCTTGATGGAGGACCATCACGCTTGATGGAGGACCATCACGCTTGATGAAGGACCATAGTTATTTTGTGCTTATAAAGCACAATATAATAAAAAAAATTTACTTCACGATTGCAAACTTGATTTTGTTATAAACATATTAGTACCATTAATTGTCTAGTTGGTATATAATAAAAACCAGCAACTAGTTATTTATCTCCTAACAGGGTGATTGTGTATCAGACAGATTACTATATCAGAATGAACTTTTATCAGAAACTTAAACCTGGTGGCTATATTATTGCTGACTGAGTACTGATTCTTATCATTTACTGCTGTTAATGGATAACTATTGTGTTTTTTATGTAAAATAATAAGATTTTATCTTTAGGTCATATATTTATTAAATTGCTAAATAAAGCCATCTATACCAGCTTGAGTTTTAATTTACTATTATTAATTCACTACACCGGAACTCAATATTAAAAATACTGTTGAGGCATCATTTAAAATCATAGCTTTTAGAAAAGACTAAAATTTTCTAGACACAAAATCTAGATAGCTTTCTAATGTTCCTGTACATAATGTTTATGAATAGAGGAATTTCATGTATAAAATCTTTCCTGTTAATTATATGGCTGTGAGAATCACTCAATTTGTTAGATAATACCATGTTAAATCTCTTTGATCATTTTAATATGAGTGTAGTTGATTAATGTGTATAATCAGGGTGGCCTGCAAATTTTTATTTTCATTTTTCATGACTTTTTCCTAAAACTTTAACATGCTAAGCAACAAAAAAATTCGCATAGTGCTCTCATTAACTTTTAAATAATGATGTTATTATGAGACTTTAAAAAAATATTTTTTGTAATCTTATTTTGATTGTTAATTCAAATAATAACTTATAGTTTTCAACTAAATCAATTAAAATTCCCTGAGTTTTGGATAATTTATCTAATTTCCTGACTTTAGCATGATGTCCAAGTTGCTGGCCACCCTGATTATTTATAAATAATAAAAGTAAATTTATAGAAAAGCATTATATTATTATTTATAGTTTAAAAATCTAAATACATTTTAAAAGAGGGTATTGGTTTTAATTTGTCTATTGTCTGTTTAAAAATCTTTTCATCACTTTTTTGTACTGTAATGAACTCATTTTGTTCCAACACAAGGGTAAAACTTTAAAATTACCTAATTTTTTTACAATGCTTTAATTTTTCTACTGCTAACTTTCCTACCATTTTTTGTTGATTTGTTACTACTTCTTGTTACCATTGGCAATATTAGGTGTCTCTAACCACTGCACCTCAGATGCTAAGTTATTATTACTTAAAAATATTTAAATATGTTGTTATTTATGAAATTTCAAAAGATTTTTAAAAGCAATATGAATTGAAAAAACTTATAAGAACTTTTGTTGTTTTACAATCTGAATATAAAATCTTCAGAAGAACATAAAATATATACATAAAAGTTTTTAATAGCAATCAAAGTTTATAAAAATAATAAAAAAAACATTTTTACAATATAAAAAAAAATGTAACTAATTATGTAATTACTTACAACTTTTATTTAAATTCAATCAATCAAGTTTCGAAAAGAAGACAAATTTTTATTTAAGGATATAAAAGAGATGCAAAAAACATTTATATAGTGTATTTATATTATGAACTTATGAGTGTATACTTGTAAAATTTTCTGCCAACAAGTATGCATGCATGTTGTTTACAAAAAGATGTGACGTTGCACAGAAAGTCATATATAGTAATTAATCAAAACAAAAGTAATAATATTATCATAATATATCAATAATAGACGACAATGTTCACCAGAGAGACCATAAAGTTTGACCTTGGCAAAACATTTTTTAAATTGAGAACTTCGGACAGGGAGCGTTTTAAAGGCAAAGTAGTTATTAATTTAATTAATAATAATTATAATAATTAGCTTAAAATTCTTTAAATCACTGATTGATGTACATCAATAAAATTAGCTAAAGACAGTTTGGCAATTAGTTGTTAACACGGCCATAGATAGCAAGTCTATGGTTAAGACTAAGTGTTGTAAAAACAGCAAGTCTCAAGCCTCAGACTGAGGCCACATATTGTGAGGATAGGACTACATATTGCAAGAACAAGATCACAAAACAAAAAGAATTTTTAAAAAAAGATTTTCTCTAAATTAAAAAAAAAAAATTAAAAAAAAAAAATTTCCAGGAGGAAGACACAGATAGACACTAAATTTTTTTTATAGCTTAAATGAAAATAATAGAAAATTACTTGACTGAAATCTTAAAATCTTATGAATGTATTCATGAAGCAAATTCACATTTGAAAAAAAATATTGTGCAAAATTATTAAAAGAACAACATCAAAATAAAATATATTAATACAAATATCAATTGCATGTTATTACCACATATGTTCACTTTATAATAAATAAATTCATATTTTATTAAATTAAATTATCAATAATCAAACTATAAATTTTATAAAACAATTAACAACAGGTTTAAATTTTACTATAAATTAAAATAACTAAACATAACTCAACAAAACTATCAACAAAAACCTTTTAAATTAAACAAAATTGCAATCGCAAATTGATTTCAAAATTTCCTACAAACTACAAAATCAAAAGTTAAGGAAAAGGTCAAGATTCACAAGTTTTAAAATTATACCCGAAACATTTAGTTTTAAGGTTTAACCATATATAGAATTGTTCGTCAATTAACAACACTGGCTAAAATGAGTTAAATAATATGACAACAAAGTTGCAAAGTTTTAAAAATATTTGTAAATATAAATAAAAATCAAAATAATAATAATCAGATAAGCGCACTTTTAGAGTTTAAGACCGATTGAAAAAGGTCAGTTAAAATGATTTTGTTAAGGCTTAGTCAAGCATGACTGCAGAGTATAAAAAAAGCTGAGGAAGCTAAAAGCTTACATAATGTAGAAGTCTCAGATCTTTGTATGAAATTAGAATTAAACATGGATAGTGAAATAGTGGGCTTTTAGATTTGCTGGAACTATTCCTTATCTAGTTATATATCTACTTTACCATCTTTTGGAAAGACTTATTACAAAAATATAAAAATAGGGTGTTTATAAAAAACATACAAATTAACTGCCAGAAAGATGGAATGTTTACAGATAATTTTTAAAAAATAATAATAACTTTTTTCCATTATGAAACATTACTTGACAGAACCACAAAGAAATAATATAATAACTCTAAAGCATTTCTAAGTTATGGATTGGTTGGCAACATTTATTAAACTAATGAATAAGGATTAAAAGCAATCAAAGAATATATAAAATTTTATGATAAAAAATATTTTTAGATAAGATATTTAAGACTAAAGGTATTTTAAGATAAAGACCATTATAACCATCAGAAAGGTTCTTTTGTGCATTACACAGTGAGGCAAGGGCAACTGTTCTTGACATATCACAAGCTGTTGATTAGGTCTGGCATGCTGATTTATTCCATAGGTCTCTCTTTATATGGTGCAACTGGTAACTTTTATTCAAAATATAGAATCATTTCTTTCTAATTACAGTATTAAAGTTGTTCTTGATAAACAACACTTCTTCGATTCCAATAATTTCTGGCATAGCACAAGGTTCTATTCTTCCTGGGTTATTATTCTAAAATATTCCGTACTGACAGATCTAGGAGTGTTAAACAGACCATATTATTCTTCCAATACTTTTACGCCATGCAATTTTAGTATACTATCTTTAAAAATAAATAAATACAAGCAACAACCTCTAAACCCATAATACCTGAAGTATACCTTTAACATGTGTGCCATAAATGACTGATACTTTTAAACAGATATCTAGTAGATTTTGGTTTGATGGTAGATTTTAGTTTGAGTAATTTAAGTAGTAAATATAACTTTTAAATAACTTTTTTTAAACTTCAAATTCACCTCCCCAAGGCCATGAAGGCCACTACAGTTGAGGAGGCTAATTAGTTGTGGTTACAATACTCTCTCAACTCTATAACTCCAAAACACGCACCTTGACTGCGCGGAGAAACAAGTTGAGCAGGTGACTACCAAGGAAGTGGTAGGGATCAAACTCCAAACTTCTCGTTTATGAGATGATACTCAAAGATTGCAGTTGATTTTTCAGTTTCAGTTAAGTTGATTAGCTTCAGCTATGATGCTGAAGCTGATCAGGGTCAATTTTGTCAGCTTGATAGAATGAAAACGGTTGCAGAAGATTTACTCCTAAATTGCTTTTCTAAGAATTCAATGCGGCGCTTATTTAAGGGTGAAAAGACAAAAAGAAAAAGATATATGAAGCAAAAATCAAAAAATTATTTTAAAGATATTAAATTCAAAAAAAAAAATAATAATAATAATAAAAAAGAGTTACAGAACTTTTTACCAGTCAAAACTATTGTTATCGAAATAAAAGAAAATTTTTATTTTTAATTATTAATGTATTTCATTATTTATATTGTGTATTTTAGTGTATTGTTTATGTCATTTATTTTTGTGCATGAATGTATTTAATGTATTATATTTTTCTTTGAATGTATTATAATACTAATAATACTAACAGTATTATAATACTAATATACTATATAATACTAATGTATATAATACATTAGTATTATATTTGTGTATATATTTATGTATATAATATACTTAATGTTTTTAATTATTTTTAATGTAATTATTTATATTTAATGTATTTGATGTATTAAATTTTTGTATATATTTGTGTATATATTATATTTAATGTATTATATTATTATCTTTGAATGTATTTAATGTATTATATTTTTTCATTTTGCTAGTGTAATGTTTGTTGTTTAATACATAATGTTTGCTATTTAATATGTTGCTGTTCACTGCTGTTTTATAAATATATGTAACATAATCTAGGGTTTAATATAGATTATAAATGGGCTGATTAAACTGCTATTCTTGTCTAATGTTAATTCGACAATTAATGTTAATGTTAATTATCTCTCTGGTTCACTGTTAACAATAGTAAATAATAACAAACTAACATATAATAAATTAAAAAATTAAAAGAAAAAAAAGAATATTAAAACTTACAATGATTCTAAAGAATACAGAAACAAACCTTCCACCATCCACATACTTCGGAGTAAAATACTTAAACTCTAAATTAAACACAGCCTCGTCTGTACATCTAAATAAAACAAAAGTGTTGCTTAAAATCATTAGATCCATGGAACTTATTGATATTAAAGAATAAAAATTGCATCTTGTTTTAAAGAAATTTACTTTCTATAAAATGAATTTTGGTACACAAAATGTTAGAGTAAAAAGTTATAAAATTTTTTCCTTTTTTTGAAGTAGTGAGGGAACAAGGGGAGAGGAAAAAAGGAAAAGGGAGGGAGAATGGGTTAGAGTTGTTTCAGATCAAACCAAATCATAAATAATGACAAAATCAAACATATGGAGTCAACTCTGCAATATTGAGGCTTGCTGATAACAACAAACATTATCATAATTTTTTAATAATTCCAAATAATTTACCTTGGTGTGTGCTCTAAAGAGTTGCAAACATAATAAAATCCCCAGGTGAATATCACTGCATTGGTAATAGCAGCACATGTATAAGTCCAAAAACATATCTTGATTTTAAACCTGGAAGAAATGATTTAATCTGTTGTAATATTTTTGTTAAACTTTATAAATTCAAAAAAATATTACTAACAACAACAATTGCATCTAAATTAAAAAATAAAAAATTTATAATATAGTCATTAATTTGAATCTTTTATATTTGAATTTTACCAATTTCGCTTGTTTATTAATATTATATATAAAATAATCTGAGACATACTGAATTAGGGAACTGGGCTCCATTACATACTATACATCATAATATATATATTATGATTTGTAATTATATATATATATATATATATATATATATATATATATATATATATATATATATATATATATATATATATATATATATATATATATATATATATATATATATATATATGTATATATATATATATATATATATATATATATATATATATATATATATATATATATATATATATATATATATATACACATACATACATACATATTTAGGCCCTTGGAATTAGCAAAAACGAAGTCGGCAATATTTGGCACTCCATCGTACCGATATGTGGAACTAATATTGAGAATAAATTAATTAGATTTAACTATAATTATAATTAGCAGTGCTTATTAGGATTAATTAATCTTAAATAGCTATAATTAATTTTTTGGAATTTTTTAAGTTTTATTGTATTTCTAAACATTTGTTGTTGTTAAATAATGATTGAAATCAGGTTTTCTTTTATTAAACTAACATTTAATTATTTTTGTATTATAATTTTGCAGAATATTGTGTATGCCATATATCCGAAGCTATCAACTGAGCAACAACTGAAGATCATTGTTATGATTAAACAAGGCATTTCTTACAGAGATAATGCTGACCAAATGAAAATTGGACTGTCAACTGTTATCAGAACAGCCAGAAAAGATATAGACACCAATACAGCAGGCTTGAACAGGAATGCCGTGCGATCGAGCGCTATTGCTGACCACGCAAATGATTTTTATTTTTTGATAACTTGACCACGATCGTTTAATAAACAATGTTTATATGTTTTGATGAGTTAAAAATTTCAGAAATGTTCAGAATGTAGAAACATTAAGCTAAACTTCCTGTTCTGTTTATTTTTTTTACTTTTTTATACTATTTTTATCAAATTTATATATATTTTTTAACTTTTATTTTATTTCTATTTTCATTTATACATATTTAAATTTATTATTTTATTATAAAAATATACTTTTTATATTAATTTTTGTTATTTTTATTTATTTATTTTATATTTCATTTTTATATTTTATATTTTATATTTCATTTTTATATTTCATTTTTAACTTCATCTATTTACAAAAACGATTAATTACAATAATATAACCAAATTTAAAGCTTGCCATAACCCTTGCCATAACCATAACCCTAAGCCTGACCTTGATGCCTGGCCTAACCAAACCCTCAGTCGATGTAGCAGCACTCCCTTGCGAGTCAGGCTATCTGATAGTCGATGTATGTACTTTTCATTCTCTATAAAAGTTTCTTATGGGTACATTTTTTTACAAAAACAATAATGCTTACGGGGACAAAAAATTAACGGATACACTAAAATGTCCCCGATAATGCTTATGTCCCTGTAAGTGTTTGTTTTTTGTAATATATATATATATATATATATATATATATATATGTATATATATATATATATATATATATATATATACATATATATATATATATATATATATATATATATATATATATATATATATATATATATATATATATATATATATATATATATATATATATATATATATATATATATATATATATATAGGTCTCAGCAGGAACAAATGATTGCAGGAATAAATGATCATATATATATATATATATATATATATATATATATATATATATATATATATATATATATATATATATATATATATATATATATATATATATATATATATATATATATATATATATATATATATATATATATATATATATATATATATATATATATATATATGTATATATACAGTGGTGGCCAAAAGTCCTGGAACATCATATTTTATGTTATGAAATCAATATATTTGTGTGAAAAACAATTTATTAGTAAATTTTTTTATTTTTTTCAATAAAATAAGTATTTACAACAATTTTAAAGATGATAGGTACATGCACATACATGATAAAAGTTCAATATTTAATGGAAGCATAGTTATTGTCAATTACCATTTGGATACGTTTTGGCATGCTGTTAACAAGTTTTGTACAATAGTCTGGTGTAATTTCATGGATCCACACTGATTTGATTGCTTCAACTAAATCATTATAGGATCTAGGCTTTTTGGCAGCAACTTTTACTTTCATAATATGCCAACAATTTTCAATAACATTAAGATCTGGTGATTATCCAGGCCAATTTTCAAGGGTTTAAATTCCTTCATCAGCAAACCACTTCTTTACAATTTTGGCTGTGTGGCATGGTGCACCATCCTGTTGGAAATAAGTGCAGTTCAAGATCTGCATAAAAGGTGGCAACTTCTCCTTCATAACATCCAAATAGACTTTGCTGTTTATTGTGGTATTCTTGGGCATTATCCATAATGGCCCACGTCCTTTGGCAGAAATAGCACCCCAAACCATACAAGACACAGGAGCCTTGACACTGCTAACTGTATATTTTGGCATATATCTACAGTTTTTTGGTCTTCTTACAAAATTGTTTGTAACATTAAATTGTTTAATACATGTTTCATCAGAAAAAAGAACTTTAGACCAATTTTCTCCAGTCCAATTTTTGTAGCGCTGACAAAATATTTTTCGATCTTTTAGGTTTTTAATGATATAAAAAGGTTTTTTTGCTGGCTTGCATGCCTTCATTTTGAAATCAACTAAAAGCCTTCTTCTAACTGTTCGGTCACTACTTTTTTCTCAACAAAAATTTCTTTTGAAATCTTGTGTGCAGATAGCAGTGGATTTGCATGGCTGATCCGGCCAATAAGTTTGTCAGTTCTTGAGGTGGTTGCTCTGGGCCTGCCTGATCTCATCTTTGAAGTAAAATTTGATTGGGGCTCTTCTTTATGCCTTTTTAAAGTTCTACTTACAGTTGATAATGAACAACCAAGCTTTTCAGATATTTCTCTTTAAACTAAACCTTGTTCATATAATGCAGCAATAATTCCTCTTTTTTTAGGTGAAAGTTCTGGCATAATATAGCTGATAAATTGCTTATGAATAATAAAAAACGATAATAAATTGCGCAATATACAAATATGTAACTATAAACATATTGCTATGTAAAAACAAAAAAATCAAACCTTCAAAAATTATACTTTAGATCAAAAATAAATTTTTTTGGTCGTTAAACATTTTGTTCCAAGACTTTTGGCCACCACTGTATATATATATATATATATATATATATATATATATATATATATATATATATATATATATATATATATATATATATATATATATATATATATATATATATATATATATATATATATATATATATATATGTATATATATATATATATATATATATATATATATATATATATATATATATATATATATATATATATATATATATATATATATATTATTATTATTATTTTATAAACATCAATAAATACGATTTTCTCTTAATACTAAATTTATTTTTTATTTTTTATTTTTTAAAAGAAAGTTTCGCTGGATTGTTGTGACCAGCGTCTTCAGCTTAAAAGATTTTGTTTGTTTTTGTTTATATGTTATTTTTAAACGGCAATTTTATTATAAGTCAATGGAATGGTTTCGTCTTTTTCTGACGTAAGTGCATTAAAAATGGTGTCCAGAATTTTGTTGACACATATTGTCCCTCATCTAAATTGATACCACTTTGTTGAGGGGCACATTGGTGGTACTGTATTTCAAGCGCCTCACGAACTTTCCTATCAAACTTTTTGTTATTGACTTTTAGAGTTCTGCAACTGTCCCAGTTAATTTGTTGTGCACAATGTTTCATGTGTGTGGTTTATGCTGATCTTTCTGTTTTATTTCCTATTGTACTGTTTTTGTGTTGTTGCATGCGTGTTTTTATTTGCATTTTTGTTTCAGCAATATACTTTTTGTTACAATGGGACTTAATAAGGTAAACTCCTGGGTGGCTGTTCCTTTGTAGTTTGGATTTATTTCTTGAAGTCAATATTGCTTCTAGGTTTAAGTTTGATTTGAAGACCGTTTTATATCCTGCCTTCCTAAACACTTTACGCAATTTGGGAGACAATATTGGTACCCAAGGTAATGAAATTGTTGGATACGTACTGGTGATGTTGTCAATGTTTTTAGTAGTCACTAGAGGTTTTTTGTACTTTCGTTTTATTTCTTTTATGATTTTTATGAGATTAGAATATTTGTAACCATTTTCGACAAATACTTGAATAAGGAATTTCAGTTCATTTTCTATATGTTTCTGACTGCATACATTAAATGCTCTATGTACAAAACCCTTGAATATTCCATTTAAAATTTGTGGGTCATGGTTTGATGTTGCCTTAACTTGAATGTTAGTAATTGCATTTTTTCTGTGTATTTTAAATTCGTATTTGCCATTTTTGTTATTTGTTATGCATAAGTCTAGAAAATTTAGTGTTTTTTTTATCATTTTCAAATTCGATTGTACATTGTATTTTTGGATGCTGTTGGTTAAGTATTGTCTTGAATTGATTAGCCTGGGCAATTTTAGGGACTCTAGCATGGCTGTCATCTACGTATCTATAAAATGATAATGTCAATAATCGGGTTGGTTTTCAGCGCTATATTAAGCGCTCTTTTTTTAAGATTTTGAAGAAAAGATTCAGCTAAAACTACCATAAAAGAAAGACCTATTGGACCTGAATTTTCAAGTTCATGTATTTCATTGTTCCATAAAAAGTATGGTCGGTATAAATATAGTTCTATCAGAGTTTTTATTTCTTTTATATTTAATTTTGTCATTTTTTTAAAATTATCGCTCACCTCTAATATACTTATGAGTACATCAGTT